AAAGTTCAATATGTTTAATTTAATCATTAAAGTGTTCTGATAACAAATTCCAATGCATAAGTATAGGGTCGTTTATTGATCGTTATATGCAGTAAAGTAGGAAAAAGTAATAAATATTTATATGAAATGAGGGGGAAAAGTTTGGTGGCCTTTGTAAACCCGTGCAGAAAACAGCAATGAATTTAAAAATAAAGAAATGAAAATGGTTATATACTCAATGAAGTATACCAAACATAAAAGTACGGTCACGTTTGAAAATGTTTGTATGGAAATCAACTTGAAAACACAAGTTAGGTGATTAAATTTATGAAACAATTAAATTTATGGTGAAATCATTTAAAATATAGGAAAAGTTTTATTAAGTTAATTTTAAAACTAATTTAAATAAAATATCCAACGAGGAACTTATAGTTTAAAAACTTCAATATCAAATGCTGAAGTATCACGATGATTCTATGAGATGCCGAAAATTTTTGGTGAAAATAGTTGATCTGCTAAGTGACAGTCTCGTTGTTAATTTATTGATTGAAATGATAACTTTACTTATTGGTTAAGTAGATAAAAATAGTTACATTTTAGTTATGATTAATAGCTATCTATCCCAACCCAACTATCCTTACAATCTTATCAATGGAACAAATTGTAGCTTAAGAGTAGGCAAAAATATAGTTAAATTGTGGTTATGATTATTAAAAATTTCTCCTACCTATAAGCACAATCTCATCAACAGAACAAATACCACAAAAAACCATTATTGGTTTCATTACAAATGATGTATTAAATTAAAGCATAACAATAAAATAGCAATGAAAATGTATCAAAAACAAACGTTTTCTACAATATTTGTTGAAAGTGAAGGGAAATATTTAGATTTTTTTATTATTATTTGAATGAATCATGCGTAGAGTCTCCTAGATTTACATAAGTAACTCTTAATAGTTGATTTTAATATCTCTTTTTAATAAATTTTTTCAGTTCAGATGGTATAAAATCTTTATATTACAATGAAAATGTATTGCACCAGTGAAAATTTCTAAATGAGAAAATTTTAAAAGTCAAGTTTTTAAACAAAGAATAGTAGTAAAGCAACAAATAACTTTACACACAGAGGCATCTTTAGCAAAATCTCTCTTATTTTCAAATTAAAATAATATAACAAAGCTGTATTGCGTCTTTTACTTCTATGAATACCAATCTGAACTCATGCATAATGAGGAAAAGAAAAACCGTAACACAATACCAATGACTTATGATATTTAATATATTTTTAATGTCCGGAATAAGCATTTAAAATAAAAATAAAAAATATTTAGGGTAGAAAAGTGAGGGGAAAAATCACCCGTTTTGTCAAAATTTTTTAATAACTTAAACCACCCTTTTTAAGTCCCCTTTGTTTTTCACCAGTGGTCTTTCAAATTTGTGGCTTCTGAGTAACCATCCTCCTTCCTCGATGTTTTTCAATTCTTATAATCAGCTTCAATGACATTTTATTTAAAGAAAATGAATTCTAAATGAGTTAATGGGTCTCGTTGAAAAATGTTTCATATTTTCAGCTCAAATAAACTAGGTAAACTGTAATTATATCTAAAGCATATATAGGGGAAAGGTATCAAATATGGGTTAGTTCAATAATATGCAACAACCTTTTTGATGCCGATGGAGATGATGGATTCAGCCAAAAACAATCTTAAACGCATCTGAAGTTTGTGGGAAGACGATAATGAAAAAACAGAAGGCCTTCAGTAGGTTGCGGTGTGATCATAGAATAAGAGTGAAAAATTTCCTTCGTTGAGTTTTTCAGTTAGTCATTGAGGAATATGATTTATTAGTCAAATTATTTATGTATTATTACATTATATATAATTTATATATTACAAGTTTAATATTATTTATATATTACAAATTATATATTATTTCGTCAAATGCGAATTAAGCATTTTCGGTCAAATGATTGCCTATAAATAACGATGGTCTAAGAAAGTAACAACTAGATCTAATGAGCAATAGTAATAGTACTTTAATCACGTTGCACTAGAGTTGTACATTAGGGTATTTTATTTTATTTCATAACCGTCGTTGAACAGCCGGCCGTATTTCTCGTTTACGAATACTAATGCTAAACTCAGTAGCCTTGTAATTTTAAACCCAATCCAGAAGACAAGGGAGCTCCTGGAGCAAGTATTGGGAGAAATTTACCTTCAAGGAAGACTTTTGGATGAAACTAACCCGCATTTGCGTTTCATGGAGAGAAAAACCATAAAAACCTCCCAGGGTTAACCTGATGACAAGGGGTCTCTAACCCATGATCCACCTACCACTGAGGATATTTTGTGTCAGTATTGTGGTCGGTGTGATCCGGGTTCGGATTTCGCATCGACCAGCCATCTCTGGGATTCGAACCCGGTTCACCTCATTGGACTGCAAACGCTCTATCCCCTGCGCTACTACGGCTCGCACATTAGGCTATTAGCGATGGTTTGGGAAACTTTCTTCAAGATAATCCAGCGACATACCTTCACAATTTTGATCCTCATCAGAGGAGGCGGCTCCCCCGCTTTAGTAGCCCGACTACCTGCTCACGAAGTCAAGCACTTTATGGTAGAAGAGTTTTAATGAAGATTGCTTCCACTCACCCTCAGGTCCTTTTGCGGGCTGATGGGCACTATTATGGTGGGGCGGATGGATGACCAAAATGGTCACCCATCCGCTGACTGACCGCCGACAATGCTGCTTGCGAACGATCGACTGGGTACCGTATCTTGCGATCTCTCACTCCTCTGTGGTATTTGATCAGATGCAGGGGCGGATCCAGAAATTTTTCCTGGGGGGGATCATAGACTCAGGTTCCCCCCCACCCCCCACCCCATAAATAATTTTTTTTTTAGAAAAAAAAATTTTTTTAAATATTTTTTTAAAAAAAAAACTAGGGTTTTTAGTGCCAGTCTTCTCATTTATTTTTTTCATAATGAACAATAGAACAATACATAAGTAATTCAAGTATTCAAAATCTTTAAATAATAAATGTAATGCGTTTATTAGAAACTTTGGCAAATAATCTTTGGTTAAACCTGTTGAAGCGCGCTTCAACATTATTAATGTTTACAATGAAACTATGACGAATTTCGTTTTAATCTTTTGGATTATGAATCTTGAAACAGTGAAGAACTTAAATAGATGGAAAAAAAATCGATTTTTCCGACCTACCTAGGTGTATATGCCCTCTTAAATAATTTTAAAATATTTCATTTCATTTGTAAACTATTGAAAAAATTATTATTTTTATTTATTTTTTTCAATTTTCTTTTTTTTTGGGGGGGGGGGCATCTTTTTTNTTCCTAAGCCCCCCCCCCCCCGCTGGATCCGCCACTGATCAGATGAATTTAATATGTCACGATTGTGTCTTGATGCTATTCTATATTGAGACACCTTTTCTAGTTTTTGAAAATTCGTGAACATTTTATTTTGTGAGAAAATATTGCGATGCTTTTAAGATTTGTAAATTCTACCGATCATCTTTTTTTCTCAGGTAAAAATTATCATTTTCACATGGAATTACCTTTGAATAACCACATTTTATAATCGTAAACAAACTCTTTATGGCAAAAATAAGCAAAAAGTGTAAACTATTGAGATCAGATATATTGCAGATAGAGATTACCCTCCATATTTTGAGATTCCAGAACCCAATTACGTCAAAAAAAATTCATTTATTTAAAGAATGTGTATTTTTGTGTTAGCTTTTTTCCCCTTTGACTAATTTCAACTTTGACTATTTTCAACTTTCACTAATTAATTAGCATATTTGAGGCTGGTTCATCGAACGTTAGGATTTTATAGCTTGTACGCGAAAATTTGATCATCAGATCAAAAGTTATTTAGATATATTTTAAGCAACTTTTTTTTTATTCGCGTACTATATTTTCTAATCAGGCTACTGTGGAAATAGTAATTACAGTACAATAGGTCAGCAGTAAAATTTTAAAGTTTATTAACAGTACAATCTTAACTTTGCTTTCAGCTTACGATAAAAGAAAACATCAATTATCGATTATAAAGAATTATACACTGTATACTGTACGATTTTCGAAATTCCATATATCTATATAAATTCTATATTCTATGTATGTTTATTTCATATTTAAAAGTAATTGGAGAGATTTTTACAAAGTACTCTCCAATCAAGTTACAATCAGCAGTTTGGTTACAATAGGCTAGCAGTAAGAATTAGGAAGTTTATATACAACCTAATCTCGGTTACTTTTTTTTCAGCTCGCAATATAATGAAGCGTTAATTAATCATTATAAATGCTATACAATTTTTTAAAAAAATGGCTACACATTTATTGTTTGTAAATATTAGTCATTGCTTACAATAAGATTTTAATAATTCAACGCACGTTTCGTGTTATATCATATTCAAAAGTAATTGAGAATATAGTTACAATGTACTCTCCATTCATATTACAATCGAAATCTGTCAGATTACAATAGATTAGCAGTAAAAATTATGAGGCTTATTACAAAACGTAATGTCGAAATATTTTCCTAATTTTTATTGCTTGCCTATGTGTACATGGTAAAAGGAAGCAATAACTTTAAATAGTAAATTTTTTTTGTACATATTTTTGCACTGTATACAATATGACTTTAAATAAAAATGCCATATTTATTTTTGGACAGAATTTGATTTTAGATAGCTGTAAAGAAAATGCAAAATTAAACGTACTTTATTATTTTTAATTCGAAAGTAATTTGAAAAAAAGTTCGTTACAATGTTCTTTCCAATTATTTGCTTTTAAAGCTTCCGATTAAATAAACTAACCATTAAATCAGTGCAAACGGCGTAATTTTTTTACTCTTTTTGTTTATTATATTTACAAATAAACACTACTTTCTAATCTTCAATGTTTCTCCATTGGTCAATAGATCTTCCAGATCGCAAATGAAGTGCGTCATTCATTGGCTACAGTTCCACGCTTGAGTGACCATTCTGGAGCGAGGCATTTCGAACATTGATCATTGCCAGATTGCCCACGTTAGCAGACGATGTTACTTTTCACTTCATCTCATTCATTGTTTTCGTTCTTTGTGAATTTTTTAAATGTCGTTAATCGAGAATGTTAATTGGTGTTGTTTTTCGCTTCTGCTATGTAATGGCGATACGATTTCATATTGTTATGAATTTAAGGAAACTGCTTAATTAATGCCTATTTCGTGTCATTTATTTTTTGATTCTGGAGAAACGGACAAAACAATTTCTTCATTTTGTGCCGCTTGCCTGGTTCGGATATGACCAGTCCAGGTAAGTCATACTTTGATATAATTTATCGTGGTATTACCAAAATTTACCAAGTCCAAATTTTAATAAAAATTTGCAATGAACATTATTTTTTTTAATTTTAAATTTTATATTTCATGATTTACTCAATTATGTTTATACGTAAAGGTTCTGTTACTTAAAATGAAAATCTTATAAAATCATTTCTTTAGTCTTTCACAAATAATTGATGCTTTTATCAGAATATTATTTTTTTTTTTCATTTTCAGATCAAGCTTTTTTAAATGTTTTTTCCCCCTCTTTTTGTAGCTTCTTATTCAATAGTTAATTGATATTCAGCACCATGTTTATTAATTGCCTACAGTTATTAAGTGCTTAGAGTCCTCTACACTCACGAAGAAAAAAAATTACTCTAAATATAAAGTATACTTTATTTTCTCGTGCTAATCTATATTTAGTTTTTTTTTTCTCCAATTCTTTAAACTCAATAACTTTTTTTAATTTTATTTTTTTGAATTAATGCTTTTTATGAAAAATAGTTCTTATATTAATTTCTAGTTCTTAATTATAATTTAGTACTTAATTATAATTTAGTACTATGTTGAAAAAATGTTTTCCACTTCATGTTTCTAACAGGCATAATTATAAAAAACGTTGGGTCTATCTAATAATATATTTCTTTTTAGCATTCTTCTTTCAGTATTCTTCTTTAGTACTACCTTTTTAGTACTTCTTCTTAGCTATGAAGTTTTTGTTCGAATTGTTACAACTTTTTTCAGATTTTGTTTTCGAGTTTTTGTTAATTTTTCGAATTAATGTTTCTTTATAAAAATTTTTCATTGTATCAATTAATTGTATCGATGGTTAGTGTTGAAGTATGATATTATGTAAATACTTTCTGCTACATATTTCTACCTATTATAATCATAAAATAATTTTGTCATTGAATTAAACAATGGCCTGAAATTTGGTATTATTGATCATTTATAGCCAAATGTACTCGGAGAAAAAATGTCTGGTTAAATTACTGCACTTGTACGGTAATGACATCTCTGAAAAAAAAACATGATTCTGGTAACAAAACTAAAATATTTGGTACTTCAATCATTTATTGATAATTTTTCTGTTCATATGGAAATGGTTTACCGGAACGTTTGGTTTTCAAAATTACAGTTCTTATTTCCACACATTTACTAAAAAATTCAAAACTGAAAAGTAAATTTAACCAAATTAGATAAAATATACTCAATAACCAATACCAATAATAATATAATTTGGCAAAATTGAAGTAAATTCAGCCAAATAGTTAGTTTTTAGGTTATGCTCTAAGGAATCGGTGATAAAATTACCAAATTTTACATTTACTATCAAACAGCATGGTACTAAAACAGTATTTTATTTTTACTTTAAATCATTATTAAAGAGCTTCAGTGAAAATAACCATGGGATCAGTTTTCCAATAGAGCCGAAAAAACGGTAAATGTTACTATGGCCTGGTAGTTTTGACCATGCTTTTTTTTTGCCAGTGTGTAACATGTAAAACACAATTATTTAAAATTTTTTTTTAATTATTTTGCCCCTGAAAGACGATTAAAAAATTCTAAATTCATATATTAAGCTAAAACTAAGTTTAGTTTTGTTTTTACATTTTAAAATAAGAATATGAGTGAGTTAAAAATTTTGCGAGTATAAGTACAAATATTATTTAATCAGCTTCACAATTACACGTTTACTAGTCAATTTTGTCCCGCAGTGGACTGATCGTAAAGACACGGTTCCCAGTGGAACACTGAAGTCAAGCATCACTGGTTGCAGTCAGTAAGCGGGTGGGTGACCACTTTGATCAGTCTGCCTAGGGACCGAGGGTGCGCGGTATCGGTTCTCGGTAAACTGCTCTACCGTAAAGTGCTCGACTTCGCGCGCAGGTCATCAGGCAACCAAATCATGGAAGCCATTCCCTTTGTAGAGGATCAAAATTGTGATGGCACGTCTTGGGGTCATTCTCCCGACCGCCGCCAATAGCCCATTAAGCAGCTCTAGTGTGACATAAATAAAAGTACCTACCTACAATTACGTACATACAGTTTAGAAAAAACTAAAAATAATAATCAAAGGCAAGTATGTGATAAAAGCTGTTTACATATCATGTAGGCTTTTTGAAAGTGAAAAATGGAGCAGTAACACTTTGACGAAGAAAATTCATTAAGTATACTTATAAAAGCTTTTTTTTTAAAAAAAAAATGTGGTTTAACTGTAAAATGTACAAAAGAACTTTCATACAAAGTCGGTTCAACTTTAAGTCTAAAGCATAATTTCCAGTTAAATTGCTTTAAAGTAGGTTTAACCTTCAAATTTACCGAAAAACTTTTTACTTAAACTACTTCTAAGAGATGTTCTATATTTAAAACTTACAAGAGAATTTTTTTTTACGCTTTTACAGAAGAAATCATGTTATAAAGTCGATTCATCTTTAAAATAACTATTTCTTGAGTAGTTTTTTAAAGTTAGTTTAAGCTTATTTACAAAAAAAAGCCATTATTTAAATTCATTTTTAAAGTTTACAAAAGCCGGTTCTATCAGCCAAACGTTTTTGATCATCAACCTCAAATTTTACATTTCTTCTCGACCCCTCCATTAAAAATGATAAAAAGATTATGTGCTTCTTATATGATTTATTTTATTTTGACAAAATCGAATTTTTAAATAAATTAATAAGAAGGTTTATGCTACTTGGCTAGATTAGCAATGTTTAGTTCAAAATTTGTTAACTTCAATCTCGGAACTTCATATTCAATTTTTAATTCTCCGTTTTTTTTAAAAATAGAAAAAAAACACATCTTTCTTTTGAGTTCAACTTATAATTAAAAAACTCCATATTGCATATGATCGAGTATCGATATTTTTAACTCGAGCAGAAAGTGGTGCGATAATCCATAACTTCAATATTTCCAAAGCTTAATTTAAAATCATTGCGATTCAATTGCATTGAATTGAATAGCATTGTTATTCCTTCCTAAACCCATAATCGACCTTTGATTGGATAAACTCCTAATTATATTACATCGACCCTTAGGAGTCGATATTGACTATTTTGAAAATCCCTCGTTTAACCTTAAAATTTATTTAAAAGAAAAACTTTTACTTTTTAAAATTAGTTTATTTCATGACTTTTAAATCGACATAATAAAATGCATTTTTATGTTGCTATTTTCAAATAATCGATTGTATCGCCCCATTGAAACAGCTGATTCACTGATTCACCTCCACTTTTTCATTTGAAAGACTTGAGGCAATATAATTATGACGCGCATTTTAAAACTGTCCAAAAGAGCCATTTTAATTTTTTTTAATGTTCATGAGGACAATAAAATGACTCTGAGTATGGTCTTTTTGAATAGTAGAAATTCCAGAAATTTGCAACCTCTGTATACCTCTGGAAACAATACTAAGAAATAGTTGGATGAGAAAATGCCGTATTAGGAAATAGTGAGATTTATTGCCCTGTAACTTTCAAGTCAACAATTATTTTCAAAACTTTTCGAACTTTTCTTCTTTCTGACTTTTTGATGGAGCTAATTATCATTTAGCGGTACACGGAGAAAAAAACCCACCAAAACCTCACATGGCTTGCCTGACGGTAAGAGGACTCTAATCGCCTACCTCTTCCGCCTACCACTGAGGATATTTTACATCAGCACTGTGGTGGGTACGAGTCGGGTCCGGAATTCGTATCGACCAACTATCGCTGGGATTCGAACCTGCATCAGGTGGCGAGCGCTTAATAACCTGAGCCACCATGGCTCAGTTCATTATTATTTATTTTGTTCTATTTAATTTTACAACCATCGTTGAACAGGCAATCCAGTTTTTGAGTTCACGGCTAATCATATTCAACTCCGTAGCCTTGCAATTTTGAACCCAATCCAAAAGACAGGGAAACTCCTGGAACAAGCAATTTGCTTTCGTGGAGGAGTTTTTGATGGAAGAAATTTGTATTCAGGCCATCAAGAAATTTGCCCTGGTTGAGGACTTTTTAATGGAATTAACCCGCATTTGCGTTACATGGATAGGAAAGACACGAAAATTTCTCACGGTTAGCCTAATAGCAAGGGAATTCTGACCCATAATCCGTCTACCACTGAGGATATTTTACGTCAGCACTGTGGTCGGTGCAAGCCGGGTGCGGAATTCGTTTCGACCAGTCATCGCTGGAATTCGAACTCGGGTCACCTCATTAAGAAGGGATCGCTCTATCTTCTATGCTTCCACAGCTCAGTTCATTATTAATGTTAGCTATTCCATAGTAGCTATTATAATAACAAATCTCCTACCCATATGCGCAATCAAGTCAACCTTGTAAGTACAAATCACGCCTAAAAGCTTTCTTGACTTTATTTCAGTTGTTATGGAACAACTAAGAACAATAACAAAAAAAATGAAAATGCGTCAAAAATTAGGTAGTTAACATTATTCTTGCATAATGCCGCAAAATATAATGCTTTGATTTTTTTTATTTCTTTTTTTTATATATTTGGTAGCTTTTGGTAGCCTTGATTTCGAGGATTTTTTTCGTACACGAAAATAATATTGGATTGATCGAGTTTTTAAGGGAATTAAAAGCAGTGTTGGTAACATAAACATCTTAACATATTTATTAACTTACTTTTTGTGAATTTGGCAGCTTTTTTTAATGCTCATATATCAGTAATTTTATGCGTATATTTTTTTTTATTTCCAATGCAGCAGGCGATACGGACATTATCCTAACGCTGTACAGAGATCAAAATAAAACAAAAATACAAATACAGAAGGAGATAAAATATACAAAATACAAAAACAAAAGCAAAACATCAAACACTAAAATTAATTCCAGAACTTAAATTGAACAAAAGTTCTCTGGCCTCCCAGTATCGGGAGTAGATGCAGTTCTTTGTCAGAACTGAACAGTTTAGAAGATGTCCAGCATTCATCGTCGCACCACTGCGGCAGAGGGGGCAGGCAGGATTATACACTATGCGTATATG